AGCTGCTGTCTCCTTTGTCTCTGTGAGCCCTAGGCAGGTTTCTGCAAAATGCGTCTGCTTTCTTGTCTCTGAAGCTGCTCACAAACACTCATTGGCTACCACAGCTCAGAAGTTGCCACCTCACTTGCCATGTCTGCTCAACTCCCTCTCCTGGTAAACACTCGATCCATTTCTCTGTCCCTTCATCTGAAGTCCAGGTTTCCAGGAGCATCTTCTGCATCTATCTTGTCCAGTTTTCTGTACTTTTGCTGCAGAGGGTCCATAGAGGGCCTAGGCTGCCATCTTGTCCCCCCACCTCCTGATAAATTGTTCTTAAACAAACAATTAAGATGCACTGGAGGCATCTCTGTGAGGTGGCTGGGCTAGAGTTTGTGCTCAAGTGGTTCAGGAGTCCATCAAAAAGCAGATTTTATGGGAGTCTCTCTGTCAAATCCAGGCCTCATTTTCCCCCAGCTGTGAGCCCTGGGTAAGCAGGTTTAAATGGGGCATTTCCCCATAAGTTCAGGGGAGTCTGGAGCTTTATTTATTTATTTTTTGGTGGATCAGGATGGGGTGACTGGGTAAGGGCAGGAGGCTGGGGGAACTGGCCTTCTCAGACTGAACAATTTTGGGAGTCTGGAAAGATTTTTAAAAAAAATCATTATTGTGAGTTGAGCAGATCATCAGTTTTACGTTCAACAAATCATATACTTTGCTTCATTACTAAATGATTTCAAACCCTTCCAGGTACCATCCAGCACCAGATGGATTTTGGCTGAAAGCAGAAAATACCAGAAAGATGTTTACTTGTGCTTTGTTGACAATGCAAAGACATTCAACTGGGCGGATCATAACAAACTGTTGATAGCGTTATGAAGAATTAGGTATTGTGCTCATGAAGAACCAGTACATAAACAAAGAGGCAGTCATTAGAACAGAACAAGGAGACACTGAATGATAGGAGAGGTGTCTGCTGGGCTTGGATTCTTTAACCACACTCATCCAGTCTGTATGCTGAGTACGTAATCTGAGAAACTGGATTAGATGAAGAAGAACTTGGCATCAGGCCTGGAGGAAGACTCGTTAAAAATCTGAGATGCAGATGATACAACCTTGCTTACTGAAAGCCAAGAGGACTTAAAATACTTGAAGATCAAAGACCACAGCCTTCAGTGTGGGTTGTATCTCAATGTAAAGAAAACAAAAATCTTCACTACTGGACCAGTAATGATAAATGAAGAAAAGCTTGAAGTTGTCAAAGACTTATTTTGGCTTGAATCCACAATCAATGATCATGGAAGCAGGAGCCAAGAAATCAAAGAACGGCTTTTCTGCTTGTGGACAGCGTGGAGGAAGCATCGTTAGTCTTCCTCCCCCCTCCCCCCACTGCCGTCATGTCTAAGTCAGAGTCTCCTAAAGAGCCCGAACAGCTGCGGAAGCTCTTCATTGGAGGTTTGAGCTTTGAAACAACAGATGAGAGCCTGAGGAGCCATTTTGAGCAATGGGGGACTCTCACGGACTGTGTGGTGATGAGAGATCCAAACACCAAGCGTTCCAGAGGCTTTGGGTTTGTCACTTACTCTACTGTGGAGGAGTTGGATGCAGCCATGAATTCAAGGCCACACAAGGTGGATGGAAGAGTGGTGGAACCAAAGAGGGCCGTTTCACGAGAAGACTCTCAAAGACCAGTTGCCCACTTAACTGTGAAAAAGATTTTTGTTGGTGGCATTAAAGAAGACACCGAAGAGCATCACCTAAGAGATTATTTTGAGCAGTATGGGAAGATTGAAGTGACTGAAATCATGACAGACTAAAGCAGTGGCAAGAAGGAGGGCTTTGCTTTTGTAACCATTGATGACCCTGACTCTGTAGATAAGATTGTTATTCAGAAGGACCATATTGTGAATGGCCACAACTGTGAAGTAAGGAAAGCCCTGTCAAAGCAAGAGATGGCCAGTGCCTCCTCGAGTCAAAGAGGTCGAAGTGGTTCTGGAAACTTCGGTGGTGGCCGTGGAGGTGGTTTTGGTGGGAATGACAACTTTGGTCGTGGAGGAAACTTCAGTGGACGAGGTGGCTTTGGTGGCAGCCGTGGTGGTGGTGGAGATGGAGGCAGTGGGGATGGTTAGAATGGATTTGGTAATGATGGAAGCAATTTTGGAGGCGGTGGAAGCTATAATGATTTTGGCAATTACAATAATCAGTCTTCAAATTTTGGACCTATGAAGGGAGGAAATTTTGGCGGCAGAAGCTCTGGCCCTTATGGTGGTGGAGGTCAATATTTTGCCAAACCACGAAACCGAGGTGGCTATGGCGGTTCAAGCAGCAGCAGTAGCTATGGGAGTGGCAGAAGGTTTTAATGGTTGCCAGGAAACGGAGCTTAGCAGGCAGGAGAGGAGAGCCAGAGAAGTGACAGGGAAGCTACAGGTTACAATAGATTTGTGAACTCAGCCACGCACAGTGGTGGCAGGGCCTAGCTGCTGCAAAGAAGACATGTTTTGCACAATACTCATGTGTATGGGCAAAAAAACAAAAAAAACAACAAAAAAAACTCGAGGACTGTATTTGTGACTAATTGTATAACAGGGTATTTTAGTTTTTGTTCTATGGAAAGTGTAAAGCATTCCAAGAAAGGGTTTTAATGGAGATTTTTTTTTTTCCACACCCATGCTGTTGATTGCTAAATGGAATAGTCTGATCGTGACGCTGAATAAATGTCTTAAAAAAAAAAAAGAAATCAAAGAACGTATTGCATTAGGTAAATCTGCTGCAAAAGACTTTTTTAAAGTGTTCGAAAGAAAAAAATGTCACTTTGAGGATTAAAGGGCGACTAGCTCCAAACATGGCATTTTCAATAGCCTCATACGCATGTGCAAGTTGGACAGCGAATGAGGAAGACAGTAGAAGAATCAATGCATCTGATTATGGTGACAGGAAAGAAGAAAATGCCATTGACTGCCAGAAGAAGAAACAAATTTATATTGGAAGTCAGAATTTGTCTCAGAAGCTAGGGTGGTGAATATTCCTCTCTCATACTTTGGACATAAAATCAGGAGAAGGAAAAGCTAAAGATCCCCAACCAGATGCATTGACACAGTGACAGCACGAATGGACTCAGACATCTCTGTTGTGAGGAGGGAACAGGATTAGGGAATGCTTTGTTCTGTTGGACATAGTCGCTATGAATAAGAAAGGACACAACAACACCTAACAACTATGTACTATCAGGTAACAGTATTTCCCTCTATTCCCTTTAACTGTTTATTTTGTTAACTTTTTATTGTGAATTGGGTGAAGGTTTACAGACAAGATCATCAACTCTACATTCAGTAAACTGTACACCTTGTTTCATATCCATGAATATAATCCCTACATTTAGCTACAGGGGAGAGAGACTGTGGCTCCCCATTTACATCTTATATTACACAAATGAACAAGGCAACAATATTTGTTGTACACTTGCCAAAAAAAAAAAAAAAAAGTATTCTTTTAAATGTCTGAGGAGCACATTCTGCCTGCCAGCCCGCCCACCGCCTCCTGCCCGCAGGCACACAGGCATCGTCTCTGCTGTCCGCTGCTTTTTAATAAATTCCCTTCAACTCTTGCACTCTTCCTGTGTTATCCGCTACCTTCACAGAGAGATGATTTTTTTGAAAACTCTTTCTGCCTCATGGACTTGTCTAAAGACCTGGTGTCACACCAGGGGCCCACAGATCTCTGTGAACATTTAGATTCAGCAGGCCACTCATAGGCCCTGTGACTTGCCAGAGCCCCAAGGCACTGGCCTTCGTAGATGTGCCCTGACAACAGCCAGGAAATGCACTCCCTGGAGAGGCACCCGAACGACCTTCAGCCAGCACCCATTTCCCAAGCACCTGCCTTCCAGTGTACCAGACACTGGGGGGTGGTCAGGCAGAGGGGGCTTGTTTGTGGCAGTTACATTTGAGTGGAGACTTTGTCGGAATGAGCGCTCCTCAGAACCCTAGGTCAATATCAGAACTCTTGCTTTGACTTGGAGTGCGGGTGGAGCCCAGCGGGAACCTGGTCTGAATGAAGGTGGAGAAGAGACTGGGGTAGGGTAGGGTAGGAGCGGAAGCAACACACAGGTGAGCAAGATGGGGGCTCAATCCAGACTGTCAGAAGTGGCCTGGCCACCAGAGACCTGAAGGTGGGGACAGTGAGCCAGAGCAACATGTGGGTGAAGACTTCCAGATGTAGGACCTGTCAGTGCAGAGGCCCTGCGCCGGAGCGGGCGGGAGCCAGCAAGAAGGCCCTGCGGGCTGAGCCTGGGGCAGGACAGCTTGACAAGCGCCCAGGGGCAAAGCCGCCGCCACCGCGTGCTCGGTCACCAGCGGCTGGCGGGGTGCGCGCGGAGGGGCGGGGCCGGCGGGGGCGCAGGCGGGGGGCTCGGCGCGGCAGCCACTGCGCGAGGGCGACGCTGCGGCAGGCAGGCTTCGGGCTCATCAGGTAGGGACCCGGCCGCCAACGCCGCCGGGCGCGCGCCCCGCCGCAGACCCCGCGCGCACACCTGTCACCGCCAGCACGCAGCTGGGGACGCGGCCGGCTGCGGCATTCGCGCTCGCGAGGCGCTGAGATCCGCGGCTCCGGGGGCGCCGTAGGGGGGTGCGTGGTCGTGTGTGGGGGTGGCAGGGGCATCAATCAGGGCCGCTTGGCGGTGGGAGAGCGTCAAGGAGTGGGTGCCGCTTGGTGCGCCTGGAGGGGCCCGGGGTCTCGAGGAAGCAGGGAGGTGGAGAGGCAGAGGAGGGGGCGTCTGGACGTTGATAGCTGTCGGGGTGCCAGGGTGGGAGGATGAGCGATCCGTGGTCGTGTACTTGTGGCTAGGGGGAAGCTGGTGGTCCCGATGGGAGCATGGCCCTGTGCCGTGGGGGAGGGGCAAGGTGTACCTGGGCTGTGATCCAGACCTGAAGAAGGATGGGGAGCCGGCTGTGAGGGTGGTCCTGGCCTGCTAGGGGGAACCGCTCCTGTGCCTCCCTCCATTTCTCTCCGCACCCCCTCCCCCAGCCATGCTGCTGCTCAAGAAACAGACCCAGGACATCAGCAGCGTCTATGAGATCCGGGAGAAGCTGGGATCGTGAGTGTGTGTGAGTGAGAGTGATTGGGAGTGTGTGAACCTACCAAGGGGGTGTGAGAGTGACTGTAAATAAGTGTGTGCACGTGCGGGGGCGGGAATGGGGGGCTAGGGTTAGGGAAGGCTTCTCCAGTTAGCTCCTTCAGCTTGGGGGGCCCTTGGCCCTACCCACCTCTGCTTCCCCTGTCTCCCCTCCCTCTCCCTTCCGGCCTCCCTTCATGTCTCTGCGGCAGAGGCGCCTTCTCCGAGGTGGTGCTGGCCCAGGAGCGGGGTTCCACGCATCTAGTGGCCCTCAAGTGCATCCCCAAGAAGGCCCTCCGAGGCAAAGAGACCCTGGTGGAGAATGAGATCGCTGTGCTCCGCAGGTGCCCAGAGCCAGCCCAGGGGCTACCGTGGGAGTGGGGAGGGTTCTAGGCCCGGGTGGGCGAGGGTGCCCACAGGGGCTGCTTCTTGCTGTTGCAGGGTCAGCCACCCCAACATCGTGGCTCTGGAGGACGTCCACGAGAGCCCGTCTCACCTCTATCTGGCCATGGAGCTGTGAGGAAGGCTGGGCGGGCATCGGGCGGTGGCTGGCCAGGTCGTGGGGGGGAGCACCTGGGTCAGCCGAGCCCCCTGGCTCCCCCCAGGGTGACGGGGGGCGAGCTGTTTGACCGCATCATGGAGCGTGGCTCCTACACGGAGAAGGACGCCAGCCACCTGGTGGGCCAGGTCCTAGGCGCTGTCTCCTACCTGCACAGCCTGGGCATTGTACACCGGGACCTCAAGGTGCCTGGCTGGCCCCGCCCCTGCCCCGCCCCTGCCTGCCCAGCCCCGTGTCTCACCGGAGAGCTGGGTGGTGCCCGACGTCCCAGGTGGGCCGATGCCAGGGCTGATCGAGCCTTCCCCGGGTGCTGTGCTACAGCCTGAAAACCTGCTGTACGCCACGCCCTTCGAGGACTCCAAGATCATGGTCTCCGACTTTGGCCTCTCCAAAATCCAGGCTGGCAACATGCTGGGCACCGCCTGTGGGACCCCGGGATATGTGGGTGAGTGAGGACAGGGCAGGGCTGTCCCCTGTCTGTGAGAGGCACTGACCATGAGATGCACTTTCGTCTCAGCACCCGAGCTCCTGGAGCAGAGGCCCTACGGGAAGGCAGTGGACGTGTGGGCCCTGGGGGTCATCTCCTACATCCTGTGAGTGGTCTTGGAAATTCGCCCCCTCCTGCCTGCCCCGCTGGCTTCAGAGGAGGTTTGGACAGCTAGCTGACCCTTCTGTGGGCACCAGGCTTTGTGGATACCCCCCCTTCTATGACGAGAGCGACCCCGAACTCTTCAGCCAGATCCTGAGGGCCAGCTATGAGTTCGACTCGCCCTTCTGGGACGATATCTCAGATTCAGGTAAGCTTGAGGTTCACCTGGGATGAGGAATCGTGGCCAGGAGGAGAGGGGCAGCTCCCAGGGGCCCTGACTGGCCTCCCTGCTCTAGCCAAAGACTTTATCCGGCACCTCCTCGAGCGGGACCCTCAGAAGAGGTTCACTTGCCAGCAGGCCTTACAGCATCTTTGGTGAGTAGGACCCTGCCAAATTGTCCCTTCCTCCCAGATATCCCCTCTCTGCTGACCCTCAGCCTTTCCCCAGGATCTCTGGGGATGCAGCTTTTGACAAGGACATTTTGGGCTCGGTCAGTGAGCAGATCCAGAAGAATTTTGCCCGCACCCACTGGAAGGTTGGTGTGAGCCCCAACATGGCTGCCTGCCCTCACCCTCGAGCCAGAGAACTTGGCCACTGCTGCCCAGTGGTCATGGTGCTCTTTGGCAGGCTCATGGCTGGTCCTGGGACTGCCATGACCACCCTCTCTTTTCACAGCGAGCCTTCAATGCCACTTCATTCCTGCGCCACATTCGAAAGATGGGGCACAACCCGGAGGGCGAGGAGGTGTCTGAGCAGGTGGTGGCCCGCCACACCCATCTGGGCCTCCTGACTGCACAGCCTCCCAAGTGGTGGGAATGGCTTCTTGGTGCTGGCCAGGGAAGGGTGTGTGGGGGAGGCTGGATGCAGCTGGCGGGGAGCCTCACAGACTGTGAGGGCTGAGGTGGAGTGGGAGATGGAGCAGGAAGGATGAACCATGTGTAGGGGGCGGGCAGCGCCTGACTGTCCCTTTCCCTGTGCTTCTCCCTCCACCCAGCAGATGGCAGCGACTAAGTGTCTGGCGGATTGACCCCATTCCTGTCTCTTGGACCTTTTTAGTTCTCCACCGCAACCCTGGGCTTGGGATGGGCGGGCATGGGGCATGGGCTGGCCGCGAGGTGCTGTGGGGCTCCCCTTCCTAATAGAATGACCATTCTTCCTGCCGGCTGTTCTGTGCTTCGCTGATCGTGGGTGATCCTGCTTGTGCTGTGGCTCGACAGCCTCTCCCTCAGTACCCCCCAAAACCAATAAAAGACCGACAAAGCAATGGACCAGTGGTGAGCTTTGCGCCGGGGACAGCACCACACAGCCTCTCCTCGCACCACCTTTGCTTCCTCCACTGAAACCTCCCATCCCACACCACAGGCCATGAAGAGGTGACCTGTGTGTCTTCCATGCCTTGGCTTATGGAGGTGGCCGGAGGCTGAACAGGGGCCCAATGTGTGGGGTCCCAGCCCCAGAGCTAGATCGTAGTGTGCCTACATACATACCAGCTGGGGGTGGCTCGCTGGTGTCTCTAGGGAGACTGCTGCCTCCCCCTCATTCTTGTGTGTCTTCTCTGGCCTCACAGGCAACATTTCTAGTGCGCCTTGCTGTCAGAAGACTGGGGCCCCAGCATCAGCTAGTGGTGGGAAAGCCCTTGCCCTCTGCTGGGATGACAATGACTGCCGGCTTTCAGAACCCCATTCCTGGGTCCCCAGCCTCTCCTCGCCCCTCTAGGCTTTTCTTCTGGAGTGCCCTCAGGGGTCCGGCAAGCTGGCCACCTTCCCCTTCCCACCAGGCCCATCACCACAACTCCCCTTGGCCAGACCCCTACCACACAGCCCTTGCCACCAAAATAGCAGGTCTCACCCTGCCCCAAGCCTCTCCCTGTGACCTATAGGACAAGGTGGGTGTTTGTCCCAGGGCTGGACCTTGTTTCAGTCTGTCCAGCTCCCTGTCTATGTCAGTGAAGGGGTGGAAGCGATCAGTAACCAGAGATGGGGATTCGCCCCCCACCAACCCACCCAAGTCCCATCCTCTCCTGGTTGGAGAACATGATAAAGAAGACCCCCTCACCTCGTTGAACCCTTTTGGGAATTGAACGGAGGTGGGTGAGGCCAAACAAAGCTGACCTCCAGCCTCTGGGTTGGAGGGAGGAGAAGACCAGCACTCCAGCAACCCTCTGCACTGGGAAGACAAGGTTGTCTGCTGGGGGAGCCTGCCAGCCACCAACTTGCAGCCCAGGGCACTCTGTTCCAAGCCCTGATACAGGACGCAATCTGACCTATAGCCAGCAGGGGGTGCCATAGCCCCATGTTTATTGGTCTCTTAGTCAGTCCGTGCCTTCAGCACCTGGGGCAGCTGCTCCGTAACATTTCTCCTGTCTGTCACCTCCCAAATCCTGCCCTGCCTGGCCCTGAGGATGTCATCCTTTGTGGGAGAGGTTCTGCTCTACCCATCTGGGAGTGGAGAGAATAAGGGGTCCCCAGGTCTGGCATAAGCGGCTCCTCTTCTTCATCGCTGCAAGACCTCCCACCTGGTGCAGGCAGTCGATGAGAGGAGAGCTTTGGGGTCACTGGGAAATGGGATGCACAGTCTTGGAGAGGGAAAGCCACCACAGATTTAGCTAAGGGAGGGGGCATTGGGGAGAGAGCTGGAGGGTTGGCAGCACTTCAGCTGACTGGACAACAGGTGATGGAGGAGCAGGGGGCACCATGGCGGAAGCTTGAAGTTGTCCAGTATGAGCCAGGCAGGTTCTCAAGATGGACCCAAAGCAGGGTCAGCCCCTCTCTCTCCAACTGCCCTCCTGGGGGGTTGGAGGTAGGACTGGAATTGAGCGGGAGTCCTTGAGGATGTCACGGCAGGAAGCTGCTGGCCCTGTTCTGGGCCACACAGGGGCAGTCACACACTGTCTTTGAACAGACCTGTGGGTCTTGGAACAGACTCCAAGCGAGTCTGGGAGCAGCGGGCAATTGAATAGCCTTGGTGGATTAGGGTGGAAAGTGAAGGGTGGGCCATGTTGCCATTCGCTGCGAGGGTCAACTGGGGTGCCAGTGAGTATTGGGGGGCACATGAGATTGGCTTTGGACATGATGACTTTGAGGTGACGGGAAGGCCCTGGGCGGTGCAAATGATGAACATGTACAGCTCCTAACCAAAAGGCTGGAGGCTTGATTCTACCCAGAGCCACCTCAGAAGACATGCTTGGTGATCTACTTAGGAAAATAAATCAGTCATTCTAAGCCTGTGGAGCACAGCTCTACTCTGACACACATGGGGTCACCCTGAATGAGAGAGAATCAACTCACTGACATGTGGTTTTAGGGGGACACGGAAGTAAACAGTGACTGCCGTTCCACCCTCTCTGCTCTTGTGAATCGGGATAGTGCTTTTGAGCTAAAATTCACTAAGGCTCATTCTTGCTGGTCAAAAAGACATTGTTACTGAATACTGAGGACTCCTGGTGTGGCGCTGAGAACCACCGCTCGGCAGTTCAAACCCACTAGCTGCTCCTTGGAAACCCTATACAGGGTCACTGAGCTGGAACCGACTCGACAGCCCTTCACCACCACCACCACAGTGATTACTGAACACTTGTCATGTTTCAGGTGCCACAGAGGGCCAGTGGCTGGCATGACCCTCCTGGGTGTTTACTTGTGGGGAAACAGAGGCAGAGGGGCAGTGAATTTCTTTTTATTTATCTTTACTAAGATTTGTCTGGTCTACTGGATCTGAGGATTGGTTTATACTAAAACAGGATAGAAAGATTCCCAAATGAAGGGGCTCCAACCAGAAAAGGGATTACTTTCTCTCATATAACAGCCCCGAGTTGGTAGGTGGGCCGGAGCCGGCGCTCCATGCATCATCTGAAGGACCCAGGTTTGCCCTCTGCTAGGGTGATTTCCATGTTGGCATGGCCAAGCTAAGGCCAAGAAGGGATGAGAAGTATAGGGCAAGCAATTGCCTTAGAAGGTAATGAAGTCAAAATTGCACAGATCAACTCATATTAGCCTGGTGAAAACTTAGGCACATGGTCACTTAACAGCAAGGGAGGCTGGAAAAGAAAGTTTACAGCTGGAAATCCATACACCCTACTAATCCTTGGGGAGAGGAGATATATTTCTAAGAGGAGAACGGAGAGCGTGGATACTGGGGGACACTTAGTGTTCCCCAACTTTGGATAACTCTCAGCTGTTATTTATTTATTTATTTTTAACACTACCTCCTCAACGTTGTTGTTGTTACGTGCCTTCGAGTCTCTTCTGACTTGTATATGGTCGCTATGAGTCAGAACCAACTCGAAGGCGCTTAACAACAACCATACTCTATGTCCGAGTCATGGTGTGGCGCTGTAGGATAAGCACTGGACCACAAGGTCAACTTGAATCACAAGGTCCGCAATTCAAACTCACCAGTCGCTCCTTGGAAACCCTAAGACAGGGTCACTATGAGTTGTAACCAACTCGACAGCATTTAACAACAATAACATACTGTATGTCATGTAGTTTCACAATCTGCTTTGTTTGTGGAATTGATATGTAAGGCATTGTCTCTGTAGACATCCCATGCACAAACTGTTTCATTAGATATGCCCTTCAGAAGGCACTACTAGCTCCAGACCATCTTATTTGAAACTTGAAAAAACTCAGCTTTATTGATGTTTGACAGTTTGCTATGGCAATCTGAGTAAAGACTGGGTGGGAGCTGATCCAGTGAAGCCCTCCTCCCACCCAAAATGCTGTCCCTAAATCTTTCCGAGAGAGCTATCAGCAGCATCCGTTACCGGGTATCTTCGAGTTGCCTCCAACTCCTAAGGAGCCCCAAGCACAGAGTGGAATTACCACAACCTTCTTCTGGGGAGCAACTGGCGAATTTCACCAACAGACCTTTGTTGGGTCAGCAGCCAAGTGGTTACACTACAACACTAGGTTCTTACTCTAGACTCAGACTTTCTTTTCCCCACTTCTACCCAGACCCAAAATTGGATAAGCACACACCTTCATCTCTTTTTGTGGGCTGTGACTTCCCTGTTGCTGCTGTAACAAATCCCCAGTCCCTTGGAGCAGATGTCTGGCTGAATCCTTTGCTCTGGTTTTCCCTTGCTTTGTGGTCCCTTATTCCACCTTCAACAACCCCCCCTCCCCACCCCCTGCCCACCGCAGGGCAGCTGCGTCTGACCTCGGCTTCCTTCAGTCCAGCTCTTCTCATGCTTCCGACTCTCTTTCTCACTTACAAGGAAAATCACCTCATTTCAGAATCCTTCATTTAACCCACCTTAAAGTCCCTTTTGCTTTGTGAGGTAACGTTTTTACAGGCTCCAGAGACAAGGACTGGGCATCTTTGGGGGCCTCTACTCAGATACTTGGAGTGTTGGGGTGGCGCTGTAGGGTCAGCGCTGGACTTTGAATCACAAGGTTGACAGTTCAAACCCACCAACTGTTCCTCGCAAACTCTATACAGGGTCGCTGGGAGTTAGAACTCACTTGGCTGCACTTAACAACAACAACTCAGATACAGGTTAACAGCAAGGGGAGGGGGCTCTGGCTCAGGCTGTTGACAGACTCAGTTCCCCCCTATTGTAGGTCTGAGGGCCCCGTTTCCCTGCTGGCTGTCAGCCAGTGGAGACCCTTCTCTCTGCTCCTTGAACCGGCAACACCACATTCATGAGAACACGGACACTTTGGGGTTCCCTGGTCCAACCACAAATCTTCCGAGGGCTGTGATCTCCAGGGGTCCTTTCATTACATAGGCTCCACCTACCAGCCCTGCCATCCGCTCAGAGCAACGAGGCTTTGTTTCCTGGCTCGTGGGTGCGGCCTCCGCCAGTCAAGGGAAAAGGGTGTCCCAGAAGGAAGGACAACCCCATGGCCAGTGGAGCTCCATCACTTAATCCTTGCACCAAGGACCCTTACTGACTGCCCTGCTGGCTCAGGGACTCCCCATCTGATCCCATATTTTTGGGTTATACCCCAAGAGGAGTTCTCCAGACATCTGGTCCCTAATTCTCCACTCAGTCTTCCTCACACTTCAATGGTGTCCACCCCCTCCAGTGTCCTGCTGTTCTCCGAAGTGGCTCTGAAGTCACTATGGTGGGCATCCGGCCTGGACCTTTGCCTCAGACAGAGGGACTCACACCAGATGTGACATGTTGCTCTCTCCTTGTGAAAGCACTTCTGAGGTGCCGGTGACCCTCAAACCAGCCGCTACTCAGCGACCATACCTCTGTTCACCTTCCTTGCTCTTCAGGCACATGCCATGGGGCCCACAGGATCCCTGTGCTGACTGCTAGTTGTCTGCCTCCCTCCAGAGTTCCAGCACCCCGTTTTGCTCAGAACTGCATCTTGGGTCCTAGCACCAGGAATGGTGGTCAAACTGCAGGCGGCCGGGTGGGTTACTGCCTCCACCTGGGAGGCAAGGCCCTGGGTGGGCTAGCACTGAAGTTCCTGGGCAGCCCACTCATCCTTGACCTCTGAGCATTCACTTCTGGCCTCAGAGGGCTGGCCTGACAGGGATAGAGTCTCCTCACAGTCCCTTCATTTTTGCCACATTCCTTCCAAAGGCGCCATTCGGGAGTGCCTTGTCCACTGGAGGGTCTCCTTTCACCTCCCTCCCCACCTTCCCCAAATCAGCAAGGCACTCACAAAACATCTTAGTGCGGGATTTTAAACAGTTTATTCAAGAGAACAATTACAGAGAGTGGTTATGAGGTGGATTACAAAAAACAATCAAGGCCCGCTCCTCCTCCTGGTCCGGGTGTTGGGGTGTGGCCGCCGTGAATGCCCCGTGCATAGTGCTTGCCCGCTCCCAGCACTCTCTGAGACCCCATCTCTTCCGGTGGCAGAGTGAGCACCCTCAGTCACAAGGGCCCCAGGGATCCTGGCAAGATAAACAGTCAAGCCAAGCCGCTGCCTGTTGCCTCCCCGTCCCAGCTCACATCTCCATGGGAGAACCCCTCTCCACAGTGGCCACTTGGGGACAAGGGTGCACGCCTGGCAGCAGAGCACTGTGGCAAATGAGGTGGTTGGAGCAGACACACACCCTTCCAGAAGAGAAGAGGATAGCGGAAAGGCCAGGGAACCCCCCCACCCCCCCCAAAGAAAAGAGTAACAGTCGAAGAAGAGGCAGGTTGGGGGGGGGGGGGTGATTTCTGCCTGAAAGTGGCAGTTTCAATAGGCACGTTTAGTAGGCTCCCCGCTGATGTTTTAAGTGGACGGGACAGGTCTCAGGGCAGCCTTTGAGTATCCTAGGCCCCAGCCCCTGCCTCTTCCCACAGAGCCATGTGAGGTATTGAGCTCCCTCCCCCCAGTCCCCTGCTCACAGCTGAGCCTCCCCATCCCCATCCCACCAGCCCCCCTCCATCACATGAGGTGGTTGGAGCACCCATTGGGAGGTGGTGGTCATGGGGAGGGCTCCTATGTGGGATCCAGCTCAAAGACGCCATCGCTGGTGGGGGTTGTGAAGAAGGAGGGCGGATCCTCGGAGGCAGTGGACTCCTGCCCCCCACTGTCGCGCCCCCTGGAACGTCTCTCCTCCAGCCTCAGACTTCGCTCGAAGTCCAGCAGCTGCCCCATGAAGTTGAAGTTGGGGGAGATGTTGGACTTCTTCCTCTTGACCAGGTCGTAGGCATCGTTGAGGGAGAGGTGGAGCTTCTGCATGAGGTAGGCCACGGTGACGGTGACGGAGCGGCTGACCCCGGCCAGGCAGTGGACGAGCACCCCGCAGTTCTGGGACAAGGCCTCGTCTAGAAGGGGCCGGGAAAGGGCAGCCCGCCTGAGGCAAAGGCCTTCCCAGCCCCCTTGCCCACTGGCCCGCATGCTTTCTCAGGGAAGGGTAGCCCAGTGTCCAGTGTCTGCCGGCTCCACTTTGCAGACTGAGAAGAATTCTTGGGGGAGGCGAATGGGGGACAGGGGATGACTCACCAATGAATGCGATGGCCTCTGGAAAGAACTGGGACAGGTTCTGGCTCCAGTGGTCCGAGATGGGAATTTGTTTGTACTGGAAGTCACCGTTCTTCTCAAATAGGTTGGGCAGGTTGGGGGTGACGTTGAGGATGTAACGGATGCCCAGCTTGGCCAAGCTCTCCAGGTTGGCCGAATCCCGGGCACAGCCCAGGTACAGGTTGGGCAGGATCTGGACAGGATAGGATAGCAGCAGCCCCGCTGGGGGAGGCGTGGTACTCTCTGAATCCAGGCCGTAGCTCCTGGACTCCGCCTCAGATTCCCCATCCGAACAGTCGTTGCTCACACATAGGCCGCCCAGCCCTACCACCGGGACTGGTCCGGATGCCTGCGCTGCCCTGGGACCACCTTGGTTGGGGAGGTTGGTCTCACACAGGTGAGGACACTCGGCCTGGAATCGGCTGAAGCCACCTGTTGGGGAGAGGGAGCCTGCTCAGCTGTCTGGGAACAGGGAGTAGCTGCCAGATGTCTCAGTGGGAACAGGAAAGCCTACAGCTTAGTATAGACTGGTATGGAGTAGGAGATGGGGTCCAGGCAGAATAGAGATGTGACCCTTCTAAGCCACCAAGTGATGGGGATGGTCAAACTGTCCCTACCCTGGGCCTGAGGCGACACTATTATTTCCCCTCTCCCACGCCCGCTATGAGCGTGGGGGTGGGAGTTTCTCTGGGGTCTGTTCCCCTGTTGGCCTAGGAGTAGGGCGGACTCTCTGCTCTCATACCTGGAACCTTTCTGAGGATTCACCTAGTTCTTCCCATTTTCCAGACTCGGGAATTGGGGCTCCAAAGGGGGAAGGAATGAACCAAGGTCAGGCTCAGCCCCCCAGCTCCCCTCTGCCCAAGGCCAGACTCATTGTGAATCCCCCTTCCCGGCGAAGGCCGAGTGACGGAGGGTGGAAGGTGGCAGGCGGGCCCCTGGCACATACCCTGGAGATAGTAAGCCACGTAGCCCTCCTCCCTCAGCTTCTGCAGCAGGATGCCCAGGACGGAATCGGCCTCCCACTCGTCATCGGCCTGGGCCGCAGCCTCAGCCTCCGCCTCGCTCTCCCCGCGCCGTCGACGTCCGCCGCCCTGATCGTAGAGGAGCACCGGGCCAGGCGGGGTCTGCTGCAGCGGCGGCCCGGGCAGCAGCGCACGCACTGACAGGCTCCCCCTGCGCAGGCGGCGCAGCAGCAGCGCGGGCAGAGCCACGCTCAGCGCCCCGCGGATGCGCCCCGCCTCGTAGAGCTCGCGGCTGCGACAGTCCAGGAGCAGCAGTTGTGGTTTGGGGGGAGACAGCTCCTGGCACAGCCACAGGCACGAGCGGCCCAGGCCCTCCATGGATGCCAGCGCCCTGCACGTCGGGCTGCGGGTACTGTGGAGAGAGAGAAGAGATGGGCGTGAGCCGGCCTCGTAGCTAGGCTAGCCCTGTTCCCCGAGGTGCCCCAAGGGCACTCCTGTACCGCTGACTCCTCTGCTCCCACCACCCTAGTGAGTACACTCGGGAGAGCTCCCCGCAATCAATGTGCCCGTTTGGCAAAGAAGAAGGCTGGCCATCTCATGGTCCCTAGGCCACCACCACATCCCTGCACCCCGTTTCTGTATCTCTTACTCACGCCCGCCCGCGGCCACTCCCCAGGCTTTTGAGTTTGGGGGGTGTGCGGGGTAGGAGTTCAAGACCCAGTTCCCCCATGGCCAGGCGGCCCCGGCACAGAGGTGGCGCCCAGCCGTCGGGCCTCGGCAGGCCCTCTCATAGCCAAGCTGTCCCAATCCCCCCCGGGGAGGAGAGGACAAAAGGAGAGAGACCTAGAGCGAGCTCGGGCGACGGACGAGCGGCCACTGGCGGAAGTCCTGGCCGCGATGAGGAGTGGGGCGCCGGCCCCAGGCAGGGTGTCCCCGGACCCGGCTGCTGGGTAAGGGGCAGGGTTGCCGAGGAGGTGCGCACGTGGAAGGCCACTTGCTGGCCTCAGATCCAGCTTCCACTCTGGAAGCCGCTCCTTTTGGATGAGAAGCTGCCTCTCAGAGGGGCGGGGCGGGGGCGGAGAGGGCGGGCAGGGGAGGGCTCAGGGTGGCCAGCGAGCCAACGGGGTCTAGCGAGAGCAACTGGGTGGACCTTGCGAGTGGCGCGCTAAGCTGGGGCTGCCACCAGGCGGGACAAGACGGGGCAGAGGCCAAGGGCAGTCAGGGGCCCAGTAAGGACCAGTCAACCACAGCTCCCCTGGTGGCGCCACCCAGTCAGGAAGCAGGGGGAGGGGTGGGGACCAGAGGTTGCTTCCAAACCAACTCATTCTGTGACCCTAGATCATCATGGTCCCTGCCTGGGCTTCATAGGCTAAAGTGGGACTTCCCTGGCCTCATGGAGGAGAGGTAGAACAGGACTAGAACCCAGGGACACCAGCAGCAGGACAGGAACTCTGAGGGTCAAACCCCACCCCACCCCACTCAATCCCACCTCAATCCCACCCACCTCCTTAGGCAGCATCTTTACCTGGGACTCCCCTGATTTCTCCACTGCCTCCTCTCCTCACGCCCCAATCTAATCAATCTGAAGGCAAGAGGTTCCACTTATTAAATGCATTCAAATCTATGTTCTCCTCTCTGCACTGACCTCAGGCTCGACTCCATCTGCCCTGCTGCCTGAACTTGCTTTCAGCAAAGGCCATGGACAGAGGGACAGACAAGTCCCTGCTTACAGAGGCTCACAGCCTGGCAAGGGGGCAAAACATAATAATGTCAGCTAAGTGTTGAGACAATGAATCGGGACATTGTGTTGAGGGGGGCCTTTCTAAAAACTTTGATCTGGCTTTACTCCTCTGCATGAAATCCATCAAAAGCAAGTCACAATATTGAGACAGAGAAGAAAAGGTGCAACGCATAGGACAAAGCTCACAGACATCTATAGAAAAGTTAAGACCGGGATTGATAAATGGATACGAATATGAGGATAGATATTGCATAAAGGAAGCAATGCTTCTAGTTCCAAAATATTTGGGGAAATGTTCAACCTCAAGCATGTAAGGAAAGCAAAGTGAAAAAAAAACAACAAAAAACAAAACAAGGAAGGCAACAGTCCCCATCTATTACATTAGTAAACCCGCCTCATTTCTAAAGAAGAGCATCCAGTGTTGGCAAAGTTGCTGTGAAATTGGGAGAAGGAGTATGGGCTGGGAAAGCCCTTTTGGAAATTAATCTGGTGATATGCGTCAAGAAAATCTTCTGGGACTGTCCCTGAAGAAAATAAACGAAAAAGAAGGGCCAGGCACACCATAAAGCAGTTTCCTAAGGAGTGAAAAGTACAAAGCAAGCAGGCAGCCTAACATTTAGAACAGCTATGGACAGACGTTTGTATGTCCATTGAAGATTGGTCTCGTGAGCCATGGCGCAAGATGAGAAAATGCTTGAGAGGTCACAAGGGGTGGAAAAAAGCAGATTCCAGAAAGCTGGAACCCTTCTAAGGGGCCTCCCGCTGGGAACGGCAGCAACAGTGGTGGTTGGCCCCATCCTGTCCCTGCTTAAGAACATGCAGGTCTTCAGGGCAGTTCTACCTGAACCTCAGGCATGGAAGCCTCAGACATCTGGGCCGTGCCTGCCTCTCTCTCTTGCACTGGGGGCCCTGGCCCCAGCACAGGCATTCCTCTGTCATCTGTCCAGATTCTGCCTATTCTTGGAGACCCCAGGGCACTCTCTTGTGGGCAGCCCTCCTGTCTCATGGACCAGCAATGGTGTCCCTCCCTGGCACACCCTGAAATGGCCACTCTAAGAGTCTGCAGACCCAGAGCTCACGTGCCCCTTTCTTAGTCTTTCACATTCCAGCTCTGGAGAGGCAGGCGCAGGCACCCGCTGCTATCTGACCAGGGGTACCCTACCCAGGTACTTGGAATGGGCAGGGCTGAAGGCACCAAGCAGATTGTTCAGCATGGCTACGCTGCGGCCAGCAGAGAATTGGAGAGACGTGTGTCCCGACTGGCCCTACCCTGGAGGTTCAGTGTGGTTGGAGAGAGCGACGCCCAGCTCTGGGAGATAGACGTTTCTGAGGTGTCCAGGGTGCGTTCTGGAGAGGGCTCCCTGGAGGTGACGAGCTGCAGGGGGAGGAAGGGAACACTTAGGCCCGAAGAACCCCCTGCTGCCCAGCTGTGTACTGGCGGCTCCCAGGGCAGCCCGGGAGGGAGTGTTGGGGGCTGGGGGGATTCAATCTCTAGAGTGAGTGCTCAGTGCCCGGAGCCAGCAGTGCCCGCAGCACAGGCAGCGCCAGCAGCAGGACAAATGGGAACCTGTGGCCATCTCCGCACTGCAGGGAAAAGCGTAGCCAAGGCTCTTCCCCCCTACACACCCCCCCCCGCCAGGTCCTCCCACTCGGGGCCCCCTGCAACGCCTGATCTGCTCACCGGCCCCGCCCCGCGGTCGCTTCGGAGCGGGGAGCTTGGGCGGGGGTGTGCGCCCAGCACCTCGGCCTCCCCAGGCCACCCTGGGAGGGCGGAGTCAGGCTGTGGGCCGGCGTACTTGCAGCTCGCCGCAGGGTGGGCGCTGCGCCCACCGCCCTTAACCTGTCTCTCAGGCGTCCGGATGCAGTGAGACCCACCGGGTGCCCCTGCCTCTGGCGCGCCGGGCTAGCGCCCCCTGGATTTCCTAAAGGCGCTGCCACCCTCAGGCTCCGTGCGCGCCGCCAGTACCTCCAGATCACAGTGTCTCCCGAAACCAGAGCCCCCACCCCCACCCCAAATGCACCGTTCCCACCAGACACAGTGGCAGGATTTCGACTGTCGAGCGGGGCCTGGTCACATGGCCAGGAGCACAACTCCCAGCGACAGCGCTGCTGCCAAATCAAGTCTCTTTGCCACTTTCTGGTGGGGATTGCTTTCTGGTTTCCTGGTCTGTCTCCTGGCAGGACGGGGAACTCCTCCCGGTAGGCCGGTGTGTGCCCGTCCCCCAGTTGGCCCTAGACTCGGTACTCAGGAAGAAATGCTCGCTGACAAAGAAGGCATGAATGAATGAAACCAATTGTTGCGTGAGGGAGCCCAGGATGGTGCCACCTGCTTTTCCCTCTGCCTCTCGTCCCCCTCCTCCGCGCCCAGACACGCACAAGCACACGTGCCGACCCAACCCTCTCCCCCACCCCGAAGGCACACGCGCAGCACGCAGATCCTGGCCCTCACGAGGCCACCTACTACGTGCGACGTGGTCGGCGCCCCTTGGGTCCCAGTTGGTCTGCCTCTATTTCAGAGCCTGCTCTCTCAGCCCCTTCCCCCGCGCCATCCATCTCAGTACCTACCTGGGGCCCCAAATGCCTTCTTTATCTTTTAGGGGAGAGGCTAGGCCAGGCTCTGCCTAGGGGCCAGGCTGCCAGCCGTTTCGAGTCAGAGCCCCGAGGCGCCTGGCAGGGTTGCCACTCACTGCTGCAGCTCCAGGGGAGTGGTGGGAGGGGCTCAGGGACGTGGGGGGGGGGAGCAGGGGGCGATTTGAGATGGGGGTGGGAGGGATGTTGGAGAGCGGCCGTCAGGCCTGGGGGCGCGCTGGGGTTGCCGGTTTGTGCGAGCGTGGGAGCGGGGACGCAGGACTGTGCACGGGAGGGCCACGTGGGTGTGGGTTTGTGTGGGGGCTTGGCTGCAGTGCTTCTGGTTGGCAACGTGGGTGGGGTGTCTGTACTGGGCATCTGGGGAGTTGGCATGGTGGGGGAGTTGACGTTAGTGCGGGTACCGGGGGATGTGCGCGAGGGTGTGCCTGGGTGGGTCTTGGGGCGTGGCACAGGCTGGGGTGTGTGGGCTTGAGCGGGGCGGGTGGTCGGCTCAGGGGCTTCCACCGCTGTGTACACTGCGCCGCGCGGTTTGTGCGCGCGTGTGGGCGGGTGTGCAGCTTGGCAGCGCAGCGATGTCTCCAGGGAAGCGCGCGCGGCACCCGCGGGGTGCGAACCAGCAGGGCTTTGGGGGAGCAGGGTGGGGCGCTCTTGACTGGGGCGAGGGGGTGGCCGGGCGGGGGGCCCGGGGTCGCGTGCTTGGCTCACCTCCGCTCCGCTGGCTCCCTGCGCCAGCTCCGAGCGTCGCGGCCGGGAAGTTTCCTAAGCCCAGGCGGCGGGAAGCGCCGCCGCCGCCGAGCACGACCGGAGCCCCGGGCGGCGGCCTCGCCTGGAGCCTGGGAGCCTGGGAGCCGCCGCCGCCGCCGCTGCGGAGGGAAACTCCGAGTCCCGCCTCCGCCGCCGCCTTGGCCGCCGCCGCCCGCCGTCGCCAGCTTCTCCTCCCCCTGCCCAGGAGGGGCACTGTCGCCGCCAGCACACGGGGAGGGCGTGCGGAGGGGCGAGGCCTGCGCAGCTCGCCCGCCACCTCCAGCTCGCGACCGCCTGTCGTGTG